TTTTCAGCTGTTGAGACACAACTCATAACTCCCGGGGCAGTTCATTTCCCCCCCCCCCGTACTTTAATATGTCACAGCCGAGTGTCTCTCCGCTGATGGCGCTTCACGGCGCCGAGGCCCGGGCACGTAGCCGGGCTGCCGCTGCTCGCCGTGCGGCCCAAACCTGTGGTGCCTTTCATGGTTCAGGGCCCTCTAATTTTAACGGGAAGTTGCACATATTTCATGGATACATCCCTGCTATGGGGGGGTGGGGGTGGTGGCAGAAGGAGGGTGGTCTCACACCGGGTGGGCAGATGATGAACTGTGGGTCCTGCAGGCTTTACAGTAGAAGGTTCTGCGTTATTGTTATACACGCTCGGCGCTCTAACGGCGATGGTTTGATGTCACGTGACTGTCTGGGCGCACAGGTGTTGCAGTAGCACCGACTCCCACAGGAAAAAAACGTTTTGGCGGCACCGCAACTTTTAAAAAAAAAAAAGATGATTTTTTACTTATTTTTAATGAGGGCCATGAGCCCCCCCCCCCCCGGCGGGTCGGACACCCCTGGTCTAAATGATGCGGCAGTGAAACTAAGAGGTGACAAGGATGGAAGCAAAAATAGATAGATAGTTCTACGCAGAATGACGTGATGTTCACTGTGTCACTTGTGTTCACTTATCGAACCCCATATAGCACAATGCTAACACATGTTGCAGTTTTACTGTTACTGCGGTAAGTGACAAGCAAATGTAAATGTGAGGCTGTTTTCTGCACAGCACCGTCACACATTCCACCCTTTGTCAGGACTTGGAGACGTTTTCTACATTTTGCATTGGCGAAGACAGCTAAAGCAGCCCAAGGGCTTCGGGTATCGGAGCCCGTAATCGGTGAGATTCATTTTTATTTTGTTACTGTAACAAAATTTAGAGGTTAATTTGAGTTCTAAATAATAAATTAGCAGCCCCAAAATGTGAAATTACTGTTCCCAAGGTCAAGAATTAACCTAAAATATAAAGTCAACAAATCTCATGAATGAGCCTTCCTTGCTGCTCCCCTTACCCCCCGCGTGCTGTAGCAGCGGACAAATGCACACACCAGATGCATTTCATGCCACCCGACTTGTTTTCATGCCTAGAAGCCCTCCATTAGTATGCTGCGCAGCATTTCTCCTTCTGCTGGTCCTGCTTGTCTCTTATTTTGGCTAAGGATATTTCCTCCAGCTCCCGGCGTCTGCAGCTGACTGCACGAGGCCCGTCACGCGGTTCAGAGATATGGTTCTTGTGGGATAACGGCTCCACCAATGGCCCGGACTTATCAAAGCAGCGCGCCTCGTCCCCGAGCCTCCGACACAATGCTCCCCTAATTTCTCCTGAATGGAAGTCCCCCCCCCCCGGACCCGGAGTAATCTCGTATTCGCCGTTTGCACACAGTTACTCTGTCTCTCTCCGTTCCCTGCATCCCCTGCCAATTGCATAAGCGAGTCCAGAACTCATCAGCGAGATGGCAGAAGAAGTGCCCTATTAAGCTGCATCGTGTCCCATCTGTTGTGTAAGAGAGAGATAACTGTATTTACTGTTTTGGAGTTGTTGAACACTGTTTTGGCCAAATTTTGTGCACCGCAGAGTTTCTGCTTACTCTCAGAAAATGTCACGGATTAATTCTGCCGCTCGCGACAAAGTCCAACTGCAATCTTTTGCCCCCAAGCGGAAATAACTCAAACTAACTTTCCTGGAAGGTTTATACCAAGAGCTTGTGCGAGGGGGAAACGATTTGAAAACACACAGGAAACATTTAGTGTTTGCGTTTTTTCTGCCTTACGTTCAAAGTATTCCATCGCTTTCCTTCAGTTTTGGGGAATAGCTAATGTTGGCAATGACTATAAATACCTGCTGACGTGTGGAGAAAGAACACTAGAAGAGCGGCTGTGATGAAAGCGGTTGTCCACGAGGAACATGTGGCGAATATGTGCTGTTAGAATAAGAAAAAAGGCTCACCTAGACTTGAGTAACAAAAGCAGCTGATAAGACAAAGTGCTGAAGTGAAAACGCAGCATCATCGTCCATATGGACTGTGAACGTAGTGCACATGCATCTGCTCCCTGCGCGACGTGTTAACCTACGACCCGTTCCCAGAAAACGACACCTCGGCGAGCGCCGGATGCCACCGAGGCCATCACATCCGAGCGACGCATGCGTTTCGTTTTGCACGTGGCTAAAGTCAAAGGTTGTATGACGGCCGGCTCCCACCGACTCCACCGATTCACGCGACAGCGGAGGACGTGACACATTGTGGTCTCCTGAGCGGGAGGCCATCCGAGGACACAGCGGGAGACTCTTTTAGGTCAGAAACACTCGACAATTTTCGAATATGATTTTTCTTCTTCATCGTTTCATTGTAAACTAAATCTTTTACTTTGAGTGGCCAGAAGACAAGAGAGGCGAAGTATGTTACACACGATAGATAACGATGCAGCATCCAAGGGCTTAAAACATAATGCACAGTTGATGCAATGATGAAAACAAACAACTGTGTATTGGTGTTGCATATTCACAAGGTCACAGTCTATGCAGAAAATTAATTCTGTCTGTCACCAAACTAAACTCCAGTCAGTAAACAACATTCAAATGAAATCCTGCCTCACTTTGCAGGAGCCCCATTGGAACCACTTTAGGGACCCCTCGAGGAGCCGAGTTTGGAAGGCATCGGCTGGGAGGGACACGGCTGTCTCAGTGAAAAACATCTTGCTGCAGGAGCACCACATCTGGGGCGGTTGAATAGAATTAGTTACAGTGCAGCAGGACTGTTTACAGGCTATAGCGGTCCATGTGTGCCCCCCTTAAAGCCAGACACAGCGTGCCAGGCTCTACACAAAGCCCACGAGTGGTACTTAAGGAGGCACTTGGATGCCATAGCAGTGCACTTCCTCACATGAGGGGATCCACGGGGAGAGGGTGATGGGGGAAGAGGAGGGGGGGGGGGGGGGGGGGGGGAGAAGTGCAAAATTGTGTCGGCATCAAAGCACAGGGCTGTGCAAACGGATTAATTAAAGCGTCCGCGAGCGCCTCTGCGTGCTCCATCCGTTCAAAATGCAACTTCTGTCACGTCGCCTTCTTCAAAGGCGGAGACACATGTAGATGTGAATGAGAGTGGGATTACGCGTGTCTGCATGGGACACGAGCTGACTGCAGCCTGCACGCTGAGGGGGGGTTAGAGGTGGATTTCCGTGGATGTCCTCTCATAAACTTTGCAGGTGCATTCTTCAGTCACCCCCCCCCCCCCCCTACGCAGGGCACATTGCTGCATGCCTACTAAAAGGACCCCGGCTATTTAACAGCAGATTGTAGGACGGACCCAGACGCCTCTTATTTATATTTACATACAGCAAAACTGCTTCACGTCACTCCAGCTGTGCACCGTCGACGTTTACCTTGATCCAGCAGCCGCAGGGAGTGCTGGAAAGACGGATCCAGCGTGTCCTTCTCTGCCATGAGCTCCGGCAAGTACTTCTCGCTCTCCATCTCGTGCGGGGCTTCGGGCTCCGGGCGCGCGCCTCGAAACGGGATTCAAGTCAATATCGAAGACAAAAAAAGGAGGAAAAAAAAACTTGCACAACGTCCACCACGCGGCTCCGAGTTGAGGCCCCCGCCGCCGCGTGTTTGTTTCTCTGTGGAGCGCACTAGGTTGTCATCCGGCGCTATCGCTGCGCGCACACACACACACACACACGCACACAAAGACACGCGCACGCGCAAACAAACAAACAAACAAACAAACGCGCGGGCGCGCGGGATGGGTGGATCAAACGCGAGCGGGAGGTTTTATCCCATCGAAGTGTTGCTCAGCCCGCAGAGTCCCGCTGCGCATCACAGCCGCCGGTGGAGGTTCCTTCTCCTCTGTGCAGCGCGCCGCCGCCGCATCCACTGCTCAAGGGTTCGGGGGCGGAGGGGAGGTGGGAGGGAAGGAGAGGTGGGGGGGGGGTGGGGGAGGAGGGAGTGGGGGGGGGGGGCGCTATTGGTCGCCGTTTTCAACCCGTGAAAAGGGGGCGGGGCGACACCACGGAGCTGTCCGCGGTGCTGATGCCCCCCGTCGTCGGCGCGTCATTACTCGTAAACTTTAACCGCGAACAAAGGCGGCGACTCGCAGACACACAGCCCGGGGAGAGTGCCGCCAATGATGGCAGCATTCAAACCGACCGAGTCTGTTTGCCTGTGTGTCAAATAAATAATACATACACAACCCAGCTGTGCAACCCAATGGAGCTCCCTGTTTTGTTTTGGTTTTTTTTCCGAAGAAGCAACACAAAAATATCAGAACATCTGCGTCTGATAAAAAGCTGGACGTTTTGGATGCTTTCACAGTTTGTATGAAATTGTTCACGTCGTTCTACATTATGGTGTCTTCATCGCTAGCCTTCGCCCTAAGAGGGGGGAAAAAGGAACGTTTAGCCAGCAAATCAACGTTGGCATGTGCAACATATCCTAATTTAGTGGTTCAAACCGCCAGATTGAATTTGGGGGATGAATTAACAAAAACCCTCTCACAGGGAATCCAGGGCCTTTTTCGTGGCCCTGGATCTCTGTGGCCCTTGACCAGTTGTCCAGAAAAGGATCTACTAAGACGTTAACACCGGTCATATTTCAAAGCAGCTGGTACAGTAAAGTAACTGGAACATCTCAAGAGGCTACATAATTGCCTCTCTACTCATTTAAGTAATTGATTAAGACCGCGTGACTCCTTAGGTTGCTTTTCCTTGTTAGGACAACCTGTCAATAGTTCTCCAGGAAATCCATTCACCTTCTCATAGGTCAAGCAAAGCGTTTCTCCCGGGCGTGTGTATGAATTCATTAAATCAGACAATACTGTTGTTTATAAAACACACGCCGCAGGAAGAAAAGAAAAACGCCAGAGACCAACTTGGCTGGTCTCCAGTTTTGTAGCAGATGACAGACGGCGACACTCGTTGTCATTGAAAGGCAGATACAGAGTTTATCCAGACAGCGGATATCGATACTATAATAAGAGTTACAGCAACACATCGGCTTTATCAGACATCTCGAGCCTTTCAGTTCCGGGAAGCGTACAATGCATGCTAAAGTGTCTTTGTGATGTATTTGGCATGTTTAAAGGCCAGCAAAAACAGGATCTGTATACAAGCTTCATATTCGTAAGAAAATGTGGCAAAAAAAGATAAGGATTCTGTCAATATTTGTGGAGGTTGCTGCGGCAGCCTCAGGTGGGCGGCTATCTGTAGGCTGATCAGCACTGGTTATATAATTGAGATGAACGTTTCTATTTCAATAACTTGGAGAAAATGTGACCCGAAGGCCAAAACCGAGATGGGTTTGTGTGTATTCATCAAGTTTTCATTCTTAGTGAACTTTGGAATGTGCTATTCTGCTTTTGCTTGATTTGTGCTCTAGAATAATCGCTCCCGGCATTAATGATGTTGGATTGTTTTTTAAATATATGAATATATACATATAAATTGTGTGCAGGGACAAAAGAATAGTTGGGAATATCACAGCTTGCTTGTTGAGGTCTGCAGGTTGAGAGGTCAGTCATGTAGAATCAGGTGCAGAATTGTGACGTCGTGTTATTTGCAAAAACGTTTTCATTAACAATCGATGTTTTCAGAACCTCCGAATTGCAGCCGTCTCTCTATTCATATAACTTCCTGTCTCATGGTTGCTGCAGTTTGTTTGTTTGTTCTCCGCAGATTCTTTCTGGACTTGTGTGTTTATGAGTGATTCACCGCAAAGAGAAACGCATTATGCATCAGCTTACTTTTTAATCTCTCCGGCAGACCATTAAAAAAGCGGCTCAAATGCACTAATCCTCTATTCAGAAGAGCGACTTATTTATAGATATGCTTGCCATCTGTTGCGTCCCGTCATCGCACCCAAAACCTCACGGTGTCACTGATGTTTGAATCAAAGGGTCGCGCCCCTCCGTCTTCCTCAAGACGAATTCGCTAAGCGACGGCGATGCATCAAGTGTGGTGAAATCACGGTGACCGGGGCAACATTTTTTATATGTATATGTGTATATATATATATATAAGTCACAGCCGGCAACAAGGGCAGCGGGCACCGGCGTAAACAAAGCCGTGAGCGATGTCGTGTCAGGTGGGCGTAAGGAACAGGAGACCAGTGGGCCGTTAAGTTGACAAAGTGTTATTTCCACCATTAGAGAACGGCTGCCCCCCCCCCCCCTTCCCCTTTCTTGCCCCTCAGCCCGCCCGTGCAGCGCCACGGGGCGTCATATAAGGCCCGTGCAGCCGTGCCGCCAGGCCCGCACACTTCTGCACGCACAGTCAACGTTTCGAGCGAATTCTTTGTCAAATCCCGACTGATTTCAATGCAAATATTTGTGTCTTTTGCAAAACTGCCTTCTGGGCCAGGGGGTGTCATTGGGGCTGTTGTCGCCCCGAGGGATATTTAGACCTCCATGTGTCACAGAGAGGACGCAAACTGGCGTGTTTCTGCTTTGTTTAGGTTAAATGGCATAATTACGGTGGCAAATCAGGAGCACTTTAACGCCTTCATCCTCCAGGGCTGCGTTCCGCTGCCAGGAGAGTGGCAACACTGCCTCCCTGTGACCGCGTTATTTAAGAAGACATACGGAGTTCATATGAGAGAATAAGGCTTTTTAAGTGTTTCTGAAAGTATGATCCTACTGGAAAGTTGGAAATTAAACCCCTATTGGAGCGTTATCATATTATAAAGGTTTGATATAAATGGTGGCAGTCTGTGTTCAGCTTTGTTGGTTACAGTGATCCAAACACTTCGGGTTGCTCCTTTTTCTTTATTTAGCCCCTGTTTATGCGTGTTTGAAAGCAAAAGCAGTTTTGTACACATACTTTCAGCATAAGAGCGGAATTAAGGACAAAGTCTCCTCCGTCTTTCAAAGTACTCTTAACAAAGCTGTCCTTTCATGATATTGTTTCCCTCCTTATGCAGCCCAACAATGCGCCTTCACTCACTAAAGGCACCTTATTGTGCCTTCTAAATGGAGCGCTCACATCCACTAAACAGCCATTCAACAGAATTATACTGCCAGCGCCAATCCATCAGGTACATTGATCACGCATCGCCGGCTGTGAAGTGCAGACTGTGGTCTCCTCTCCTGGAAGTGTTGTGCAAAAGAAACCTAATGAGAAACTGTCAGCAGTGCACAGGTAAACAAATCAATGGCACCCAGCAGTGCTCCCAAGGTCGAGCCACACACACACACACACACACACACACACTCCCCCTCACAGACCTGAGGTTGAAGCCGTAGCCGAGACTCGCCGTGTAAAGGCTGCTGTCAAGATTTGACTTTCAGCAGAGGAACAGGGTTCAAATGGGATTACCTTCTGCTGCTTTACCTTCTCATGGCATCATTTTGACATTTTGGGGAATATGGTTATTTTCTTGGATGGAGATGAGAAGATTGATTCCGCTCTCTACGTCCGTTGTCTATGAAGCTGAAGTCGGCTGATTAAACTATAGCGGGGAAAATGGAAAGTCAGCAAAACTACCAGCAACTCTAAGCCTCACTTCTCTTCTTTAGACGTGTGCAGAACAATCTATTGGAAAAATTTGCTCTTTTTTTATTGTGATTACATAAACACAAAGTGTGGCCTTTAGAGGAGCCAGTAGTGCTAAGCTAACTAGCTGGTGGCTCAGCAAGAAAGGAAGAAAATATGTTTACCCCAAATACCCCAAAGATTCCTTTAAGGTGCCAGAACGTAGGTCCCGATAACGTCAATCATTAGACATTTTTTAGGTTAGAGTTGGGCTGTCAGGGTAACCGGCCAGGAAATGCATTTAAGTCAATGTAGTGTCCCTAAAAAGTCACGCAAACCTGTGTGTTTTTCTGTCTTACCGAACACTAATAAGTCCAATTGCACTGCTCTGGAACATACAAGCAATATAAAAGCTCAATCGATAACAGAGCAAATGCTGGGGGATTGGGAAATAATACACTGACACGTTCCATTAGGCTTTGTGTTGCGTCACATTATCACACCGCCTGCACAAATGCAGGTTTTTTACTCCGCTTAGCAATGGGAACATGACAGGACACCCAACGACAGTCAATCTAACACAGTGAACCAGACAGATCTTTTCATTTGGAACAGCGTCCACAACGCGGAGTCACTGAAATCAGTTTGCATGTTTTTGGTCGCTCTGTTATGAGCACGAGCTTAATGGAGCAACCCGACGCGGCCCGTGACGTGCGGCGAGAGTCATCACAGTGCACTTGCTACACCGGAGAGATGCACAAGGTCAACAGCGGTAATTATTCCGCGGGAAGCGTGTCGGTCTTCGGCGGGTGACTCGGCGTCCCGTCGTGGGCGACAGCGATTGAGCACAAAAAGCAAAGCGTGCTACGACGCCACAGCGCCCCCGGGCTGTTCTCCATGTCCTCTCAGCGTCACTTTGCACCGGTTAACCCCTCCAGTTGTCTTTAAGCCCCCCCCCCTCTGCTAGTCTCCATTAGCAAATGATGATTATGCTCAGATGGAATCTCATCGTGAGAAACTGCAGCGTTCTTTGCACAAACAAAGAGTGTCTTTGGTGGAATAGAAAGGGATGAAAAGGCCACAAACAGCAGACAAATGCAGCTCGAAGGTCCATTTCTGTCTTCGGGCATTTGATGTACAATTTGCAAGTCTTGTTTTCTCATCAAGCTGGCGACATGAGCGACGCAATCATTTCCTGCTGTGTTAATTTTAGAGACATTCCACCCGATGAATAGAAAAATGTTTTTTAACGACTAAATACAGTTGGAACATTTTGTGACATATATAAAGCCTGCAGGTCAAGTGTTTTAACTTCGCAGGTCGATTGAAACAAACAGTGAGGTGGCAGCTGAATGTGAATAGAAAAGCAAAACAAAATCTGAAAAGGAGTGACATCACACACTGAGCGAGCCGCTGTTT